TCCTATGAGAGAATCTGCCCCCAGGGACCCGATTCCCTCCCCCCACAGGTCCCGGGGGTCTTCACCCACCTCCTGGGGCTCCCCCCCAGCAGCACAACGGAGCCCAATGAAACTTCACCGGGGTGGGGAGGAATTTTTGGGGGGAAAAAATAAACGGTTTTGGTCCCGCCACAGAGCCCCCTCACCTTCTTTTCCTTTGGGGGGGCCCCTGACGAAGCACCAGTCCACGCTGATGGGCTGCCCATCAGCTCCTGCCCGTTCAGCCCCTCCATGGCCGCCTGCGCCTCCTGTAGGTCTCGTACTCCACCAGGGTGTAGCCCTGCGGGTGGTGGGGGAGCCCAAAATTGAGGGTGGGGGGGGAAATCAAATCCCCCTCCTCCAAAATTGAGGGTGGGGGGGGGGGTTAGGAAGGGGGAGGAGGCGTGGCGGCGCCTACCTTCAGGTACCCCGTGCGCCTGTCCAGTTGAGGTGGATGTTTTTGATCTCCCCGTATCGGCGAATTTGTCGTGGATGTCCTCCTCCGTCGCCTCCTCGTGGACGCCCGTGACGAAGAGGATCCAGCCCTCAACCGCTGCCCGGGGGTGGGGGGAAAGAATTACGGGGGTGGGGGGCACATCCATTGGAAAAAAGCCAAAAAAATCCATCTGAGAAGCCCCAGGGGGATCAGAAACATGGAGAATGGGGATGGAGCGGGGTTTTGGGCAACGCTGGGGGCGTGAGGTGAAGCCCAGCGGGGTGGGGAAGGGCTCCAAGCCCCCCTGAGCCCCCTGAGCCCCCCCCGAGCCCCCCCCGAGCCCCCAGTCCCGGTACTCACACCTCTGTGGGCCCGGCTCGTCGCCGTCCTGCTCCACGCTGTCGTAGTCCTCGCGCACGCGGGCCGGGAGCCCTCCTCTGGGGAAAGGGAGAGAAAAAAAAATAATTGGGGAGCGCTGCCGGCACCGAACGCACCAAAAAGCCTTTGAAACTGCCCCAAAATTGAGGCTGGGGCGGGAGGGAAGGGGGAAGTAGGAGGCTGCTGGTGCTCACCTGAGCCGAAGCCGCGTCCCTTGCGCTTCTTGGCCTTCTCCTTCAGCTTGTGGATGCTCTCTGCGGGGAGGGGGGGGGTGAGGGACGGGGCTGTCACCGGGGGACTGGGGGGGCAACGGGGAAGGGGGGGGACACGGGGGAAGTGGTTGAGGAGTGGGGGGGTGGGACTGGGAATGGGAGCGGGATTGAGACTTGGTACAGGACTGGGAGCAGGATTGGGACTGGGATCAGGACCAGGACTGGACCGGGATCATGACTGGGACCAGGACTGGGACTGGGACCGGGATTAGGATTGAGACCAGGTCCAGGACCGGGATCTGGACCAGGACCAGGACCAGGATCAGGACCAGGACTGGACCGGGATCAGGACTGGGACTAGGTCCGGGATCAGGACCAGGATCAGGGCCAGGGACTGGGACCAGGACCGGATCAGGATTGAGACCAGGTCCAGGACCGGGATGTGGACCGGGACCGGGACTGGGACCAGGATCAGAATCAGGATCAGGACTGGATCCAGGATCAGGATCAGGACCAGGACGGGACCGCAACCAGGATCAGGACTGGACCGGGACCAGGACTGGGACCAGGTCCGGGACCAGGACCAGGATCAGGGCCAGGATCGGGACAGGGACCGGGATCAGGATCGGGATCGGGACTGGGACCAGGTCTGGGACCGGGACCGAGACTGCGGCCGGGCCCAGGACCAGGACCGGGACCAGGATCGGGATCAGGACTAGGTCTGGGACCAGGACTGGGACCGGGATCAGGACCGGGACTGGCACCAGGCCCAGGGATCAGCCCCAGGCCCGGTGCCGGCAGCAGCGGCCGAGCCCGCGGGGCCGGAACCGGGACCCGGAGAGCCCCGAGCAGGCCCCGAACGGGCCCCTCAACCACAGCCCGGGCCGGGTGGCGCCCCCCAGACCCCCCCCACGCCCCCGGCCGGCCCCGAGGGGAGGCAGCAGCGGGCGGGGCCCGGCCCCGAGCCGCCCCCACCGTCGCCATCCTCGTCCATGGCGAAGTCCTCCCCGCCCGCCTCATGCAGGTCCAGCACGTCCGCCATCTTGCCGCCTTCCGCCCCGCCGCCGCCGCCGCCGCCGCGGTGCACGACGGGAAGAGCGCCGGAAGCGGGGCGTCAGAGCGCCGCGGCCGCCGCCATGTTGGAAGGGCACCGCCATGTTGGGAGGGGTGGCGCCATCTTGGTGAGGGCACCGCCATGTTAGGGGTGGCGCCATATTGGGAAGGGCACTGCCATGTTGAGGAGGGCGCCGCCATGTTGGGAGGGGTGGCGCCATCTTGGGAGGGCACTTCCGTCGGGGGGGGGTCGCCATCTTGGGGAGGTCAGCGCAGCTCGTCCCGCCCAGGCCGCCATGTTGGGAAGGGCGGGGGGATGCTTCTCCCCCCATTTTGGGGCCGTTACCCCTAAACCCAGGGGGGGGGCAGAAGGTGGGACCCCCCCCCCGCTGCCCCAAATCCCCCCCAGTGCCCCCAAAAGTGTCACCTCTGACCCCTCCCCTGCCCCCCGAGGGGCCTGAGGACACGATGGTGGCCCCCAACCCTCACGGCCCCCCCAGGAGGGGATAAAGCCAAGCTCTTTTTGGGTTGATTTCCCCAGAAACGGGGCTCCCGCGAGCACGTCGTGGCCACGTCCGCACCGCTGGCCCTCAGCCCACCCGCAGCAGGTTGGGTCCAGCCCAAAATGCTGAAAAAAGGGAAAAAAAAAAACAGCAAAACGGGGAGCAGGGGGAGACGGCTGCTGCAGGACAGGCCTGGCAGGACACGAAGGGGGCCCCAGAGGGGGGAAAAAGAGGTAAAAAGGACAAAAATAAGACAAAATAAAACAGGCGAGGGCCAGGCCTGGCTGCAGCCCCAGGGCTGGAGCCCGGAAAGCGTTTTCGCAGGCGGAAGAAAAGCTGGAATTAAAGAAAAAAGCTGGAATTGAAGAAAAAAGCTGGAATTTAACAGAAAAAGCTGGACTTAAACAAGGACAAATGTGGCTTTAGCAAGGAAAACCCCCAAAAAAAGAGGCTGGGGTCAATTGCGCGGCTGCGTCCTCGCCCAAAAAGGCTGGGCAAAAACCCTAAAACCCCATGACAAAGCCCCAAACCCCGTGACAAACCCCAAAACCCCATGAAAAAAAAACCAAAACCCCATGAAAAAAAAACACCCAAATCCCGTTAAAAATCCCCCAAATCCCATGAAACCCCCCCAAACCCTCTGGGGGTCCCGTGGAGGTGCCAAGGGCTCGGTGCTTAAATCCCAAACCCCGCGCCCGGACAAAAACCACCCCAAAAGCTGCCGGCCGCTTTAGGGTCACGTTTATGGACGCGTTACACATCGGCGGTGCTGCGTGAAGAGGCTGCGTATAAAAAAATATCTATATAAAAAAACCCCAAAAAGGGGCCGCTCAGGGCGAGAATACAAAATGAGGGGGGGGCCTAGAGCGGCGTTGGGACGGTCCCGAGGGGCTTCGTGCCTTTTTTTTGGGGGGAAAAAAGCAGAGAAAGGGCAAAGCTGTGCTGAGAAGCTCCCGGTCCTCGGTTTTCCTTCCTCCTCTTCCTCCTCCTCATGCCTGGCTGGCCCCAAAACCCCACAAAAATCCCTTTTGGGTTGAGACGGAGGGAAAAAGGGGAAAAAAAAGGCAAAAACAAAAAAAACAGCTTCGCGGAGCAGGAGCCTCGCGGAGGCAGCGCCGCGGCCGTACCGCCAGGAAGGGTTAAGTGTTAGTGTTACAAAAACTGCTGCTTTTAGATAAAAAATTTAAAAAAATACATAAAAATAAAAAAAAGGGGGGTGCGGGAGGAGCTCGGCGATTTAGGATCAGGCCCGGAAGCGAGCGCCGAAAAGCCCCAAAACCCTCGGGGCGCCGTTTTGGCTCCGTTTCCCCGCAAAATGTGCAAAAGGGGACGAGATTTCGGGTGCCCTAGGAGTGCCCTATGTGTGCCCTATGGGCTCTGTGGGTTTTTTTGGGGCGTTTTTGGGGTGGGCCCTAACAGCCGGGGGGGTGCGCGCCCCCCAGTTGCCCGGCGGCCAGCATGAGGATGTCTTTTTTCTCCTTGTGGAAGCGCAGCTCCTTGCCGGCCAGCCGGGCTTCCTCCAGCTCCCTCTCGGTAGCCGCAAGCTCCCGGGAAAGGGCCCCGGGGTTGCCCTGCTCCCGGTTCACCCAGTCCGTGGCCATCTGGTTGCGGATGTCGTCGTCCAGGGCGCGGTGCGAGTAGTGGGCCAGAACCTCCTGGGGGGGGGGAAAAGTGATAAAAAGGGGGAATTACAAAAAAAAATAGGATCAAAAGGGGTTTTGGGGTGGGGGAGGGCTCACCTGGCGGGAGCACTGCCGCTCCCGCATGGCCTTCAGGCTGCCGTTCCAGTGAAGCAGCTGGAAAACCGTCATCAGCTCCTGCCGGGGGGGTAAGAAAGGGGAAATTTTAGGATTTGGGGAGCCCCTCGAGGTTCCACAAGTCCCCCCCCCAAGGCTACGTTTCCCAAATTTATTATTTTAGTGATTAAAATCCACAAAAGGGAGAGTGAGGCGGTGCCGACAGGAATTAAAAAGCAATTCATATTTTGGGGTCTCGACGGCGCGGCTCAGAGCCAAACCCACGCGCGGACCCCAAAAATTTCCCCCTAGAGGATGAACCTGACCCCCCCCCCCCAAAACGCAAAATGGGGGGGTGGGGGGTACCTGGAACTCCAGCATGGATTTCCCCTTGTTGGACTCCAGCATGAAGCGGAAGGCGCCGATCCCGGTGTTGGGGTTGTCAGCCTCCTCCCGGTTGCCCTGGTGGGGGGGGGAAATTTTGGCACGGGGGCTGCTCCCCAAATCCCCCCCACCCACCCCACATCCCCTTCCCTCAATAAAAACCCAGAGGAGCACAAGGAGGGGACAAAAAAATTAAAACCTTAAAACCCAGGACCTCAAAGAGAAGTGGAGGGCTCCCAGCTGCAAAAAAAAAATGGGCTAAAATTGGGCCAGGGGAGTTTTAGGGTGGATATTAGGAAAAAATTCTTTACCAAAAGGGTTGGGTCTTTAAAAAAAGACTTAAAAAAAAGTTTTTAAAAGACGTTTTAAAGTTTAAAAAGTTTTTTAAAAGATGCAGAGCTCAGGGATATGGTTTAGTGGGGACTGTTAGCGTTAGGTCAGAGGTTGGACTCGGTGATTTTGAGGTCTCTTCCAACCTAGAAATTCTGGGATTTTGGGATTGTGTGAAAAGGGGAAGTTTCCCGGCACGATTTGAGGGTTCCCTCCCCGCCCCGAGGCTCACGTTGAAGGAGGCCAGCGCCTCGGAGACGCTCTTCTCGATGAACTCGTCGGTGATGCGGCGCGAGGGGTGCTCGTTGAACACCGAATTCATCAGCGCGATCTTGGCGGCGCTCCGCCGCGCCTCGGCTTTGGTGGGGCAGAACTGGGGGGGGGGGAGAGAGAAAATGGGGTTAAAACCCCCCGGATCCTCCTGCTGTCGCTGTTTGGTTTTTTTTTGGGGAGATTTCAAACCAGACTTGCCCAGAAAGGGGCTGCACACCAGGTGCTGCAGCGTTTCCTTGATTGTTTTGGGGTCTTTTAAAGAGATTTAGGATCAAAACCGGAGCTGTTCGAGGAATTATTGCTCCACCCTATAAACGCATCCCCCCACCCAGCCCCGTGAAGGACGACTGAATGTCAAAATTAATCTAAAAGTTGTCATTATTCGTTTTTTCCCCCCAAAACACCACCTTGTACAGCTCAGCTCTGCACAGCTCCAAGCCCATCACGCGCAGGGAACGCAACGCAGCACACAAAGCGCCGTTTCCAGGCAAATTTCCCCCAAAAACCCTACCTGGAAGCTGCCGAAGCAGCTGCCCCCCGGCAGCGTGACGTAGCAGACGTAGGGGGGGCTGCTGGAGGGCACCATCTCGTAGACCACCAGCGCCCCGTTCCTCAGCTCGGCCCCCCGCGACTGCTTCATCTGCCAGAACTCCTGCAGCGCCTCCACCACGTTCACTGCGGGGGCAACAACGGGGTCGGGGGGGGGGGAAAAGAGGAAAAAAAATGGGTTTAAAACCTCAATATATGCTAATAATTCACCTCCAGCTCCTTCCTTCATTAATAATTTGGCAGGGGGGTGCAGAAACCCCCCCAGCACCCCCCCTCCCAGCCTTTTTCACCTCAGCACACGTTCCCAAGCTGCGTTTTGGGGTGTTTTGTGGGGTTTTTTTGGTTAAGTACACCAAAATATGTGATTTTCAACTGAAAAACTGCCCCAAACCCCAAGGATAAGCAGAAGCCCACGCAGTCCAGTTCCCGTCCCACTGAGGGGCACAAAAATCCCCCCCGGGGGGATTCGGAGACCAAACCCCATCCAGAGGCAGCTTCAGAGCCCACAGTGACCAAAACGGGCGGTTTTCAACCCAATATTCAGCCCCCTCCTCTCGTTAACTCCCTGTCCTGGTGCCAAAGTGATGCTGGGGGCAGAGTTTGGTCCCGTGCTGCCCCCACAGCCTGCGGGTGAGCCCCAAAAAGCCCCCAAATCACCCCAAAAATTGGGAGGGGGGGAAATGGGGTCAGGAATTGATGGGGGGATCCCAACGACCCCAAAAGGACCACAGGGTAGGGGAAAAAGGGGAGGGGGAATAAAATAGAGGGGGGGCTTCTCAGGGATGCTGTGGGGATGGAAAATAAAGGGGGGGGTCTGAAGACCCCGCATGAGGGGAAAATATGGGAGGGGGTCTCAGGGAATGGCTGGAGGGGCAAAAATTGGTGAGTTGGGGGTAAAAAATGGGGGGGGGGGGGGAAGAAGAAGAGGGGGGGCTTCTCAGGGACCCCCGGGGGGGCAAAACCGGGGAGTGAGGGGCAAAAAAAAGGAGGGGGCTTCCCAAAGACCCCCGGGGGGGCTTCTCCCACTCACCGCGGCCGTAGCCCTGCGTGTGCTTGGCGAAGCTCCGCACCACCGCCTCCACCGCCTCCCTCAGCACGGCGGGGGGCCCGGCACCGGGCTGGGGGGGGGGCTGCGACAACGCGGCGGGGCCCTGCAGCCCCAAAGAAGAGGGCAGCGGAGGGGGAGGAGGCGGAGGAGGCCCCGCCGAGGCTCCGGCGAGCCCGGCCCGCAGGGAGCGGAGCGTCCCCACCCCCGGCTGCAGCCGCTGCGCCCGCACCGACTCCATGGCGGCCGCCGCGCCGCCTCCTTCTTCTCCTCACAGGGCCCCCGCTGTCACTCAGCGCCGCGCCGGCCAATGGGAGAGCGGATCGCCTCAGGGAGGGGGCGGGAGGAAAGCGGTGGGTGGCCAATGGGGGAGCGGATCGCCTCAGGGAGGGGGCGGGAGGAGAACGGGAAGGCGGCCAATGGGGGAGCGGATCGCCTCAGGGAGGGGGCGGGAGGAAAGCGGTGGGCGGCCAATGGGAGGGGAGAGGAGGAGGGAGGGGAAGGTGGGGCTAATAGGGGGTGGGGCAATGAAGGGAGAGCCAATCAGGGGAGCGCTGGAGGGGTTAACCAATCACAAGTGAGGGAGGAAGGGGAACGGACCAATCGCAGCGCAGGGAGGGCGGTGAGCGATGGGAGGGAGCGAATCAAACGCGGAGCGCCGAGGAGGGGGCGGGGACTCAACCCTAACAACCTAACGGAGCGGGGAGAAAGGGGGCGGGGCAGCTAGAAATCGACCAATGGCTGCGCTTTACGGCGGGGGGGGGGGCGGGGCCTTCCACAACGAGCCAATCACAGCTTCTGTTTTCACTCAGGGGGGGCGGGACCTGGGCGGCGATCAACCAATAGGGACGGACCCTTCTTTTTTGTCCCTCGGCGGCTCCCGTCGCTTTCCCGGAAGTGGCGGCGGCGGCGGCGGGGCGCGGCCATGGAGCCCTGGGTGCGCTTCAGCGCCCAGAGCCAGGCCCGGGAGCGGCTCCTCAGGTGCGGGGCTCCTCGGGGGGGGGCGGCGGGGGGGGTCCGGGACCCTCGGCTCAGCCCCGGGGGCTCCTCGCGGTGGTCCCGGGGCCCCTCAGGGTGGCCCTAGGCCCCTGACACCGCTCCTGGGCCCCCTCTTGGTGGTCCTGGGACCCCCGACACCAGCCCAGGGCCCCTCTCAGTGATCCTGGGCCCCTCTTGGTGGTCCCAAGACCCCCAGCACTAGCCCAGAGCCCCTTTTGGTGGTCCCAGGGCCCCTCTTGGTGGTCCTTTTCACCCTGACACCTGCCCAGGGCCCTCTCGGTGGTCTCTGGGCCCCTCACGGTGGTCCCAAGACCACTGACACCAGACCAGAGCCCCTCTTGGTGGCCCCAGAGCCCCTCATGGTGGTCCCAGGGCCCCTCTTGGTGGTCCTGCCCCCTGACACCAGCCCAGAGCCCCTTCTGGTGGTCCCGGGACCCCTGACACCAGCCTAGGGCCCCTCACGGTGGTCCCAAGACCCCCAAACACCACCCCAGGGCCCCTCTTGGTGGTCCTGGGCCCCCCAGCCACAAATCCCGGACCCCCTCTCAGTGCTCCCAGCCCCCCCTGACCCTTTCTCTCTTTCAGGGCCGCTCAGTACGGCTGCGCCCTGGCCGGGGCAGCGCTGCGGAGGAACGGGGCGAGCGCCGAGCTCCTGGCGCGGGTCCGGCAGCTGGAAGCACACCTCAGCCTGGGCCGAAAACGTGAGTTTTTTTTTGGGGGGGGGGGGGCTCTGGGGGCTCCGCGCCCCTCGTGTGGCCCCCTTTTAACCCCCGGGGGTGGGCTCCGTCCCGCAGTGCTGCGCCTGGGGGGCTCGGCCGAGGCGCTGGAGGCGGCCAAGCGAGCCATCCACCTGTCGGACGCCGTGCTGCGCTTCTGCCTCACCCTCAGCCACCTCAACAGGGCTCTCTACCTGGCCTGCGACAACGTCCTCTGGGCCGGCAAGGCGGGCTTGGCCCCCGCCGTGGATCAGGAGAAGTGGAGCCAGAGGTCCTTCAGGTGAGGGGTGAGGGCTGGGGGGCTGCCCGCCCCCTCCCCATGGCCTCCCCGGGTGCGGGATGGGATTTGAGTCCTCCCTGAGAGCTCCGGGTGAGGGTTTGTCCCCATCTCATCCTGCCCTGTGAGGATTTCTCCTGATTCAATCCCTCCCCGCGGGGATTCCTCACACATTTCACCCCTCCGCACAGGGATTTCTCCCCATTTCCTCCCTCCCTGCAAGGATTTCTTTTGATTTTACCCCTCCCTGCAGGGATTCCTCCCCATTTCATCCCTCCCCACGGGGTATTCCTTCCCATTTCACTCCTCCCAACAAGGGTTTCTCCCCATTTCATCCTTCTTTGCGAGGATTTCTTTCAATCTGATCCCTCCCTGCAGGGATTCCTCCCCATTTTGTCCCCCTCTTCAAGGATTTCTCCCCATTTCACCTCTCTGCAAGGATTCTTTCGATTCAATCCCTCCCCACAGGGATTCCTCCCCATTTCATCCCTCCCTACGAGGATTTCTCCCAATTCAATCTCTCCCCACAAGGGTTTCTCCCCATTTCATCCCTCCCTGCGGGGATTTCTCCCCATTTTGCCCTTCCCCACGAGGATTCTTCCCCATTTCATCCCTCCTTACGCATATTCCTCCCCATTTCATCCTCCCCATGAGGATTCCTCCCCATTTCGTCCCTCCCCACAAATATTTCTCCCGATTCAATCTCTCCCCACAAGGGTTTCTCCCCGTTTCACCCCTCCCTGTGGGGATTCCTCCCCATTTCGTCCCTTCTCAAGGATTTTTCCCCATTTCATCCCTCCCCATGAGGATTTCTCCCAATTCAATCTCTCCCCGTCGGGATTTCTCCCCATTTCACCCCTCCCCACAGGGATTTCTCCCCATTTCATCCTTACTTGCGAGGATTTCTTTCAATCTGATCCCTCCCTGCAGGGCTTCCTCCCCATTTTGTTCCTCTCTTCAAGGATTTCTCCTGATTTGATCCCTCCCCGCGGGGATTCCTCCCCATTTCGTCCCTCCCTTCAAGGATTTCTCCCCATTTCGTCCCTCCCTACGAGGATTTCTCCCAATTTAATCCCTTCCCACAAGGATTCCTCCCCATTTCACCCCTCCCTACGAGGATTCCTCCCCTCCCTGCCCCTCACTAACAGCCGGGAGCAGAACCTGGGCGACACCACCCCCCTCCCACCCTCCTGGTGGGCATTTTAACAACCTCCTCCCCCTCTCCACGAACCCGCGGCCGAGAACTCCTCTCTCTCTGCCCCCCCTCACCCCGCAGGTACTATCTCTTCGCCCTGATCGTCAACCTGAGCCGGGACGCCTACGAGCTGCGGGTGCTGATGGAACGCGAGGCCAACGGGAAGAGGCTGAAAGGCTCCGAGGGGAGGCAGCAGCAGCAACGCAGCACCGCCCCGAGGCCGGGCTCCAGCAGCTGGGCTGAGGCTGCAGCTGGAGCTGCGGCTGCTGCTCCGCGTCCTGCGCAGCAACCCCCCCCTGCTGCTGGATTTGCTGAAAAACGCCTGCGACCTCTTCATCCCCCTGGACAAGCTGGGGCTGTACCGGAGCAGCCCGGCTTTCGTGGGGCTGTGCGGCCTCGCCTCCTCCGTCCTCTCCATCCTCACCATCCTGCACCCCTGGCTCAAGCTGAAGCCGTAGCCGATTTTGGGGGCCCCGTGGTTGGGCTCCCCGGCTCGAAACCAGCCTGGGGACGTTTTGGGGGGGCGCTGGGGCACGCCACAAAGCTGCTGTGGGGCCTGGGTGTGCATTCACCGAGGGGCAGAGCGGCTCGGGGCGGGCTGAAGGAGCTCACGCGGCACCCAAATCCCCGGGGAGCTGCTGCTGCTGCCCCCCCCTCTGCTCCCCAAAGGATTTCGGCTGCTCCTCGTCCACAGCAGAGCTCACCGGGCTGCTCTGGGGGGGGTTCAACACCTCCCCTCCCCTCTTCAGGGGGCTCCCCGGGGTCTCTTTAGCTGGGAAATTGCTGCTGCCCTGCAGCGCTCGGGGGGGGTTCTCCAGACTTTGGGGGGGGTTAAACCTGGGGTGGGGTGTCCCCGGTGCCCCCCCGGGGCCCGTTTTGACATCGGATTTTCCTTTTAAGCAGCCTCGGCCCTAAAGGGTTGCACGGGGGGAGTCGGAAGGACTCGGGCTGCGGAGCCGGGGTGAGTGCGGGGTGCTGGCAGCGGATCTGAGGTGAGCCCACGGCGGGACCCCCCCCCAAAAAAAAAAAGGAGATTTCCTCTCCTGCTCCTTTCCCGCAGCCCCAGCGGGGGAAGAAGCGGCTGCAGCGGGAGATCTCTGCCCCGGGGGGGTCCCTGGGTTCCTCCTGGCTTTTAGGAACACTTTTATTTGATTGAAATGCACCTGGCACACACTTTGCTTTTCCTGGGGGGGCTTCAGGAGCTTGGGGCAGAGCGGGGGGGCTGCGGCTGTGTCAGGGGAGTCCCCCCCAGCCCCCGGCTTCTCCGCGGGTGCTTTGTGGGGAGGGAAGAAAAATGCAGTCTGACCCCACAAATCCTGCGAGAAGCTGGGGGGGCGATTTCTGAGGGTGGGGGCACCGGGCTCGCAGCTGGGGGGGCTGCAAACCGAGCACGCCCCCCCCCCCCTCGGATCCTTTGGGCTCCTGGCTGAGATTTTGGGTCCGCTCGAGGAAGAGAGCGAAACAATCGTGGGGGTGGAAGGGGCCCAGCACCCTCCTGCCCCCCCCGGAGCGACGTTTCCACCTGCAGAGGTTTGGATGAAGCAGGGGGGGGCCGTCAGGACCCCCCCTCCCCGCTGCGTGCATCCTGCCCTGGAAGCAGCCCCCCGTGCCCCCCCCAGGTCCCTTTGTGGAGCTGCTCATTAAACCCAGCTGCCGAGCCCCGTCGGGTTCTGGGATTTTTTTTAATCTTATCTTTTTTTTATTTTTTTGGCTGCTTTTTGGCTCCGTTCTGCTTTCGGATGAGTTTTGTCAGCGCTCAGCTCGGCGTGGGGGGGGGGGGGGGCCTGGCCGTGCCCCCAGCCTCACAGAAAGGTTTGGGGAGCCCCGTGGGTTTTGGGGGGCTGCAGAGCTCGGGGGGGGGGGAGCAGCTCCAGGGTCTCGCCTGGTGCCTCAAATTGGGGTGCTGGGGGGCACGGGGGGGTCCTCAACCCGGGGGGGGGGGTCCCAAGGTGGAGGGGATTGGGGTCCCCTTGCCCCCCCCCAGCAATGTGTGGGTTGGGGGGGCACAGGGGGGAGTGGGGGGGTGCAGGGGGTGCAGGTGGCTGCTGGGGGGGGGCACCACGGTGCTGTCAACCCCCACCCGGGGCAGTTTTGGGGGAATTGTCTCAGATTTGGGGCTTGGGTAAAGGGTGAACGTCCCCAGGAGGGGTCACGGGGGGGGGAAAAGCGGAAGAAAATCCCGATTGTGCAACGGGAGGGGGGGGTGTGAAAAGGGTTGGGGGGGGAGAAAACAGCTCGTGTGAGCGGGGCCGGGGTTAACGCAGTGGCGGTGGGGAGAAAAAGTCGTGGTTTTGGTTAAAAACCATAAAAACCAGCCAACAGGAGGGGTTGCGCTCCCGGGGGGGGGGGGCTGGGGCAGGGACGGAGCAGGTGGCGGGGCTGGACTGGGAATACTGGGCTGAACTGGGGGTGCCAGCCCATAAAACCTGGACTGGGGGGGGGCGTGTATGGGTTTTTATTTTATTTTTTTTTTTTTTTTTTTTTTTTTTTTTTTGGGGGGGGGGGGGTTGATCGGTTCTCCCGGCCTCCCGAGGGCGGGGAAGCGGCGCTGGGCTTGGCTTCGGGAACTCGGAAGGGGAGGGTGCTGGGTGCTGGGTGTTGGGTGCTGGCCCCCCCCACCCCCAGCTCCTTGCCCACCTTTAACCATGGGGCCGTGCCCCCCCCCGGCCCCCCCCAGCTCCCCACCGAGCGCTGCCAACCCCGGAGGCTGCAGGAGCAGGTAGGAAAAGGCCGGAATCCCGCACGTGGGAGCAGTGGGGGCGAGTTGGGTTTTTGGGGGATTTAGCCCCAAAAAATCCCCCCAGGATCCTGCCCCCCCCGGGGGGGACGTACCTGGCAGCGTCCGGTGTTTTCGCTGCCCTCGTTGGAGGTTGTTCCGCTCGGGGCAGGGACGGGACGATTTCCCATCTGGTTTTCTCCTCCAGTTTCCTGTTTTTTTTTTTTTATTTTTTTTCACCACCCCCCCCCCCCGGTAATAAAATGCCAGAAAACTCTGGCTGGAAGCGCTGCCAGGGAGCACGAGTTTTGGTCTGTGCGAAAACTCTTTTATTTTGGGGTTTTTTAAAAAAAAAAAAAAAAAAGTCCCCAAAGCAGAGTGGGGGGCTGAAAGCTGCGCCCCGGGGGTCTGCCGGGGGGCAGGGCTCAGCGGGGCCCCCCATGCACCTGGAAGTGCCCCCTCCCAGCCAAAGGGGGGGTCCCAAGTCCCCTAGGATCCAGTCCTTGGTCCCATGGGGTCAGATCGCCCAGCCCTCGCTGGGATCAGGTGCGCTGCCCCCCCCCTCACCCCTGATCCAGTCCCAAATGCCCCCCAGGATCCAGTCCCTGCCCCCAGTTTGCCCCCGGGATCCAGTCCCGGATCCCCTCGGACCCTTGGGACCCCCCACTGCCCCCCCCGCCATCAACTCCCCAACCCCATTGGGATCACCGGCCCCCAGCCCTCACCCCCCCTCACCTCTGCCCTTCCCCACCCCACAGGGACACCGCCAGCGGTGCCGGCACCCACGGGGGGTGCCCCCGGCCCCCCACCGCTGACCCCTTTCTCCTCTCTCCCCCACAGCTCAGCCCCACGGGGCCGCCCCGGATGCCCCATCCAGCCCCATCCCCGGCTCCCCGTGGGCCGGCTGCGGCCCCCCCGTCCCCCCGCGATGCCGAGGGGTCCCTGGGGAGGCGATGAGGCCGTGGCCGGCCTCCGGCACCGGCGGGCTGCGCTGCGCCGTGCTGCTGGCGCTGGCGGGCACAGCGGTGCTGCTGCCCTGCCGCTTGGCCGACCGCAACCAGACCGGGCTGTGCAAGGGCTTGAGCCTGGTCCGGGTTCCCGAGGGCTCCCTGACGGCCTCCTCAGCTTGGATTTATCCTACAACAAGCTGCAGGAGATCACGGCGGCCGATTTGGCCGGCTTGCCGCAGCTGCGCAGCCTGGACCTGGGCTACAACAACATCTCGCGCATCGCCCCCGACGCTTTCCTCTCCAACGTCCTCCTGGAGCGGCTGCGGCTCTTCAACAACTCCCTGGCCTTCATCCCGGCCCTGGCGCTGCGCCCCTTGGCCAACCTGCGTTGGTTGGACATGTCCAACAACCCCTACGGCAGCGCGGCGCTGGACGGCGTTTTCGGGGAGCTGCGGCACCTGCGGGTGCTCTCCATGGGGGGCCCGCTGCTGCGCGACGTGGCCCGGGGGGATTTGGCCGCCCTGAAGGACACGGCCCTGCAGAAATTCGCCTTCAAGTCGGCCTCCAGCTTACGGAGCTACGAGGCCGGGGCTTTCTCCTGGCTCAACACCACCGAGCTGTGGTGCGACATGGCCCTGGACGGGAGCGCGGCCGCCCTGCCCGTGCTGCTGCGGGACCTGCGGGGCAAACCCTTGGAGTACCTGCGCTTCCGCAACCTCTTCGAGTTCACCTACTACCAGGGCGCCCAGGATCCCTTCTCCGGCTTGGCCGAGCTGGAGGCCACCAAACTGGTCTTCTACCGGGGCAAATTCAACGAGAACCTGCTGCGCCTGGCCCTGCTCAACGTGCAGCGGTCCCGCGTCCGCCAGCTGGAGCTGGTGGCCATCGACTTCGCCCGCTCGCCCCAGTGGAACAGCTCCGGGGTGGGCTCCGTCGCCCCCCGGCTCGACCGCCTGCTGCTGCAGGACATCAGCAACCCCGACGTGCTGCGCTACGACTGGACCTTCACCTGGCTGCGCGGCGTGGCCGCCCTCCTCATCCTCAACGTCAACTTCAACTACGTGCCCTGCGACGCCTGGGGCGAGATGCGCAGCGTGGAGCTCCTCGACATCTCCCGCAACCGCCTGGAGGACGCCTACATCTACAACCAGCGCTGCCACTACGGCGGCGTCATGCCCAAGCTGCGGGACTTGGTGCTGGCCAACAACCGGCTGCAGAGCCTGGCCGGGGTGGCCTCGCTCACCCGCACGTGGCCCCGGCTCGCCCGCCTGGACCTCAGCCACAACGCCTTGGGTGGTCTGCAGGAGACGTGCCAGTGGGGGCCCACCTTGCGCTGGCTGGCCCTGCACCACAACAGGGTGACGGCGGCCACTTTCGGGTGCCTGCCCACCACCCTGGAGTATTTGGACCTCTCGCACTCGCAGCTCGACCGCCTGGACATGGCTTACTTCGCCCGGAGCCCCCGGCTGCGGGAGCTGCTGCTGAGCGGCAACAAGATCAAATTCATCCCCTCGGAGTGGAGCTGCTCCAGCCTGGAGGCGCTGGCCATCGACGGCAACTCCTTCGGCGTCATCACCCGCGGCTCCTTCCTCAACATGCCGCGCCTCGCCAACCTGACGGCCGGCAACAACCCCTACCACTGCACCTGCGACCTCTACGGCTTCTTGCGGGACACTCAGCGGCGAGGCCGGCCCCGTTTGGGCGACTGGCCCCAAAACTGGACCTGCTACCACCCCGAGGCACTGCTGGACACCCCGGTGGCCTCCTACTCCCCGCGGCCGCTGGAGTGCGACGTGCCGGCGCTGGTGGCCGTGGCGGTGGCCAGCACGGCGGTGGCGGTGGCGGCGTTGGCGGCGTTGTGCTGGAAGCTGGAGGCGTGCTGGTACGTGCGGGCCACGTACCGGTTGCTGCGCTCCAAATATCGCTCCGGCCACGCCGGCACCGAGCGGCGTTGCCTCTACCACGCTTTCATCTCCTACAGCCGCGCCGACGCCGAGTGGGTGCGCCGGGAGCTGCTGCGGCGGCTGGAGAGCGCCGAGCCCCCCTACCGGCTCTGCATCCACGAGAGGGACTTCGTGCCGGGCCGTTGGATCATCGACAACATCGTGGAGAACATCGAGAACAGCGCCAAGGTCATCTTCGTCCTCTCCCGCAGCTTCGTGGACAGCGAGTGGTGCAATTACGAGCTCTACTTCGCCCACCAGCGGGCGGTGGGCTTGGGCTACCAGGACGTCATCCTGGTGGTCAAGGAGCCCATCGACGTGCGGGGCTTGCCGCGGAGATTCGCGCGCCTGCGGAAGATGCTGGGCTCCAGGACCTACCTGGAGTGGCCCCGCGAGCCCAGCCGCCAGCCCTTCTTCTGGATGCAGCTCCGCAGCCTCCTGGGGACCCCCGGGGGGCTCGGAGGTGGCGAGGAGGAGACGGACGTGGATGCCACCAGCACCGCCACCAGCGCTGGCACCGTTGTCACCGCCACCACCAGCACGTAGCCATTGCCCAAGCGCCATGTCCAACCCTACGAGATGGCTCCAGGGATGGTTTTTGGTGTCCTCCCCCCTTTTTGGGCACCCTGGGGGGCTGGAGCAGCCCCTGCCTCGGTTTCCCCAAGTGGGGGCAGGAGGGGAAGGGGGCACCGAGGTCCCCAGAGGCTCGCAGGGGGGCAGGAGATGGAGACAGCGTCCAGGAGTGGCCCCGTCCCTTGGTGTCCCCTGCGCCCGGGGGGGGCCCGATCCTGTCCTTTTGGGGTGGGGGTGGAGTGGGGAGGGGGCACGGTGTCACCCCCCCTTACGGGACAAACCTGCTCGAGGATCCCTGCCCCGATGGGCAACCCATCGCCCCCTTCTTTCCTCTCCCCCCCCCCTTTTTGTTTTTTTGGTGATTTCTCCAATTTTGCATCAATTTCTTTTTTTTTTTTTTTCTTTTTTTTTTCCCCCCAACTCCGTCCGCCTAAAAAAAAAAAAAAAAGAAAGAAAAAAAAAAATCACAACGCCGCCCGGCTGTTTATTTTTAGCAGCCAATTGCGACGTCTCCAAGATGAAGGAGGAGGAAAAAAAAATATATTTAAAAAAAAAAAAAAAAGAGGAAAAAAAAATAAAAAAAATCGGTGCGTGCCCAGCCGGAGACAGAGTCACCTTTGAGCTGCTCCGGCGGCGAGCGGTTGGGGCCATGGGGGGGTCCCTGCGCCTGCTGCCCCCGCTGCTGCTGCTGCTGCTCCCAGGTAATGCCCGAAGCCCCCCCCGCAGCCCCCCAGCCTGGGGGGGTTTTGGGGTGCCTCGGAGCCACCCAGCTCCTTTTTGGGGATGCTGAGGTGTCGGGGAAAGGGTTTTGGGGTGGATTTGGGGGTTTTTGGGGTGGTTCTTTTTGGGTTGTGGTCTTCTGGGGTGCGGGGTCTCTTGGGGTTTGGGGTGTGGGATTGGGGTGCCCGAGGGATTGGGGTGCCCGAGGGGAAATCCCATAAGGAAGGGGGGGAAATGGGGGCTCTGTGGGGTGGGCACAGGGCCCCCGTCCCTGAGCCGAGGCACCCATTAACCAACCTCGAGCCACTAATTAACCTCGGGGCCACCCATTAACCTCGAGCCCCCAATTAACCCAGCACCCAGGGAGGTGGCGATGCCACCTGGAGGACCCCCCAGCATGGCTTTTGGGGGAAAAACACCCTTTTTTTTTTCCTCCTTATCCCCCCTCCGTGAGTTATTTCTGGCTTTCCCCTGTTGGGAAGGGACCCCAAAGACCCCCCCCCAGGATCCTGCCCTGTGTCCCAGGATGGGACCCAAACCCCACAGAGAGGAACTAAAGGAAGCCGTCTATGGAAAATATCCCAATTTCAGGGAAAAAAAAGAGACAAAAAAGGGTTTTTCTTTTCCGCTTGGAAGACGGGGGGGGGGGGGGGGTTGGCAGCTCCGTCCGCGACGGGGGCAGCCCAGCTCCGTCACATCTGGACGCGTTTTAAGTTTGGATTAAGAAAAAAGAAAAAAAAAAGAAAACACACAAACAGAAAGCTTCTGTTTGTCCCCAAAAGGCACCGTCCGCTTCGCCCTGTCCACCCGGCAGCCTCCAGGGGTGCTCGGGGCTGGATTTGGGGTGTTTGGGGCTGGGTTTGGGGTGCTTGGGGCTGGGTTTGGGGTACATGGGGCCGTTTTTGAGGTGTTCAGGGCTGTATTTGGGGTACGTGGGGCCACATTTGGGGTGCTTGGGGCTGGATTTGGGGTACTTGGGGCTGTTTTTGGGGTGCTCAGAGCTACTTTGGGGTGCTCAGGGTTGTATTTGGGGTGCTTGGGGCTGGATTTGGGGTACATGGGGCCGTTTTTGGGGTGCTCAGGGCTGCATTTTGGGTACTTGGGGCCACCTTTGGGGTGTTCAGAGGCACCTGTGGGGTGCTTGGGTTGGATTTGGGTGCTTGGGGCTGGATTTGGGGTACTTGGGGCCATTTTTGGGGTGGTCGGGGCTGCATTTGGGGTACATGGGGCTGGTTTTGGGGTGCTCAGGGCTGGATTTGGGGTTCTCAGAGCCACCTGCGGGGTGCCGGCTGCTCTCCACAGGGCGCTGGGTGCTGGATTTGGGGTCCTCGGAGCCACACGGGGTGCTGAGTTCCCCTTCCTGCTCTCCATCCCACACCCCCAGCCACGCTGTCCCCCCCCCCCCGGGCCGTCCTCGCTCCCTTTTCCTGCCCTTTTTCACCCAGACGGGGAGCGGGGGCGGCGGGCAGGAAGGCTTCGGGCCTGCTGTCTGGGCTCGGGGCCAGGGCCTGCGGCCGATCCCACCCGGCCCCGCTCCCTCCCATTTAATTACCAGTGCCCCAAAGGCGCGGGGGGGGCATCGCCCTGCCTAATTGCGGGGTTGTGGCCCAAAATGAAGCAGGGGGGGGTTGGTGGGGGGGGCTGTGGGTGCCCCCCACCCAATTCTCGCCGTCTCCCCAGGGCCGTGCAGGGCCTTCAACATCGACGTGAGCAGCCCCCAATTCTTCCACGGCCCCCCCGAGGCCCAGTTTGGGTACAAGGTGCTGCAGCGGGTGGCCGGCGGGGACCGGTGGTGAGTGGCCCCCCCCCCGTGACACCGGGACCCCCCCCCTTGGGTGGGTTTCACCCCCAGTTTTGGGTGCAGATGGGGTCGTGCGTCCCTAAGGGAAGGAGAAACCGTCGAGATTTGGGGTCGTGTGGCCCCAAAAAAAGACAGAAATGGGTGGGGGGGGGGCACGGTGGGAGCACCATGGGGAGGGGAAACTGAGGCAGGGAGGGGGAGCTGCTCTTGCTGTTTTTCCCCCAAAAAATCCGTTTTTAAGCCCTGCTTTTGTGTTTTGGCCGGGGGCAGCTGGAGGGAGGCGAAAATTGCTTGGCCCCGGGGGGGGCCACGCACGCCTGGCCGCCGATCAAAGGGCGGACGGAGGGATCGGAGGCAGGACAGACGGACGGAAGCCGCTGGCAGCCCCGGGGGGGGGGGACAGGAGCGGTGTGGGGGGGTCCGGGCACAGCGAGCGGATGCCCCTGGGGGGCTCTGGAGCTGTGCCCCGGAGCTGGGTGACCTCAAAGCATCGCCCCCAGAGCCCATGGGTGCCGTTGGGGCAGGGAGGGGGGGGTGTTGGTGTTGTTGTGTCCCCCCCCCTCGATGGCTCCCATCCCTGCAGGCTGCTGGTGGGGGCCCCCTGGGACGGCCCGGAGGGTGACCGCCGCGGGGACGTCTACAAGTGCCACGTGGGCTCGCCCAACGCCACGTGTGACAAAGCCAACCTCGGTACCACCAAGGGCCGGGAAGGGTTGGAGGGGGGGGTCATGAGGAGGGGGGGTCCGGGGGTCGCTGTTTGATTTTTTTTTTTTTTTTTGGGGGGTTCCCCCCACCAGGCACCGCAGCCCTGCAGAGCTCCCCCCTGCCCAGCCGCAACATGCACCTGGGGATGACGCTGCTGGACAGCAAGGACGGCGGCTTCGTGGTGAGCGCGGGGGCACCCAGGGGTGGGGGGGCATGGCGGGGGGCTTGGCGTGCCCCCCCCCGTCACACTCAGCGTGCCCCCCCCTCCAGGCCTGCGCCCCGCTGTGGTCCCAGGAGTGCGGCACCTCCGTCTTCAGCACCGGCGTCTGCGCCCGCGTGGACGGCGACCTGCGGCCCGTGGAGACCATCGCGCCCACGGCACAGCGTGAGTGGGGGGCACCCGTGGGGGCTGGCACCGGGACGTGCCACGCGGTGTCACACCATGTCATGCCGGGCCATGTCATACCGTGTCATGCCGTGTCACGCCGTGCCATGTTGCACTGTGCCGCGCCGTGTCACACCACGCTGTGTCACATCGTGCCGCACTACGCCGTGTTGTGCCATGCCATGCCATGTCACACCATGCCATGCAGTGTCACACCGTGCCATGCCGTGTCACATTATGCTGTGCCATGCCACGCCGTGCCATGCTGTGTCGCGCTGTGCCATGTCACACCATGCTGTGTCACATCGTGCCACGCTATGCTGCGTCGTGTCACGCCATGCCATGCCACACTGTGCCATGTCACTGTGCTGTGCAGTGTCACACCGTGCCATGTCACAAGATGTTGTGCCATGTCACACCATGCCATGTCACGCCATGCCATGCCATGCCACACACCGTGCCATGTCACGCCGTGCCGTGTCACACAGTGCCGTGTTGCACCATGTCGTGCCATGTCACACCATGTCATGCCACACACCATGCCGTGTCACACCGTGCTGTGTCGTGCCATGCCGTGTCACGCCGTGCCGTGCCGTGTCACACCGTGCCATGCCAGCCCAACCCCAGCCGTGTCCCTCTGTCTGTCACCCCCCCGCAGGCTGCTCCACCTACATGGACATCGTCATCGTCCTCGACGGCTCCAACAGCATCTACCCCTGGTACGAGGTGCAGAACTTCCTCAGCAACATCCTCAGCAAGTTCTTCATCGGGCCGGGACAGATCCAGGTGACACGAGGGTCCCCGGGGGATGTCACCCCTGGGGTGATGCCACCGTTGTCCCCAGGGTGCCCCCAGCACCCCAGGGCGATGCCGAAGCCCCGAGCTGGCCTTGGGCAGGGTGGGGGGAACAGGAGACACATCCTGGGGGGTTCCTGCCCCGTGCAGGATGGGGACATCCCCAGGGGCTGCGGGTGCCCACATCCGTGACACGGAGAGCAGGATGCGGCCGGAGCCGGGGCTGACTCAGCCCCGGGAGGGGTGATGTGTGGGGGGGGACACCTCCTGTGCTCTCAGGCTTAAATCATCAAAGCGTGGCTGGATGTCCCCAAACTGCAGGGCACCGGGCACCTGGGGCTGCGTTTGGGGGGCACTGGGGACGTTTTTGGGGGCCCGGGGCTGGCTGCGCCCGCTGACCCCGTGCCCCACGGCAGGTGGGGGTGCTGCAGTACGGGGAGCACGCGGTGCACGAGTGGACGCTGGGGCAGCACCGCACGGCGGAGGAGGTGGTGGAGGCGGCCAGGAACATCAGCCGGCAGGAGGGCCGCGAGACGCGCACCGCCTTCGCCATCCACCAGGCCTGGTGGGCACCGGGATTAGGATCGGGATCGGGGTCGGGGTCGGGATCGGGATGGGGACCCCCCCAGCTCACACCTCCCACCCCGTTTGGCAGCACCGAAGCCTTCAGCCCCGAGCGGGGTGGCCGGGAGGACGCCACCAGGCTGCTGATCGTGGTGACGGACGGCGAGTCGCACGATGGGGACGAGCTGCCCGAGGCGCTGCGGGAGTGCGAGAGGCGCAACATCACGCGCTACGCCATCGCCGTGAGCCCCCCGCCGCCGTTTCCCCGTCCCACCCTCATCGCCGGGCTGCGGGGAGGGACCCGATCCCTTCCTCCTCCTCCTCCTCATCCTCATCATCATCATCAGGGGGGGCAGGATGCGGCCCCAGGCTGAGGCCGGAGCCCTCTCCGCAGGTGCTGGGGCATTACCTGCGCCGCCAGCAGGACCCCGAGGACTTCATCCGCGAGATCAAGTACATCGCCAGCGACCCGGACGAGAAATATTTCTTCAACGTCACCGACGAGGCCGCCCTCAACGACATCGTGGATGCCCTGGGCGACCGCATCTTCAGCCTGGAAGGTGCCGTGACCCCGAAACCGGCCCCCGTGGCGCTGCGTGGGGGCGCACGGGGCACCCTCAGCCCATCGGGATGAACCCACGCGTGGGTATCGAGGAGGAAAAACCTCCCCCCTGCCCCCCCAGGCACCCACGGGAACAACGAGAGCTCCTTCGAGCTGGAGATGTCGCAGATCGGGTTCTCCATCCACCTTCTGGAGGTGAGGCTGCGCCGCGCGGCACGGGCAGGATGCGGCCCCGGCAGAGTTTTGGTGTGGGGGGGGGACAGAGGGGAAGGGATCCAGCCTGGGGGCTCTCTGCAGAAGTGGAAAATAATCCTCAGCCGTGCGTCAGCCTCCCCGCTTGAGGCTGAGTGTCCCGGGCTGGGTCATTTTGGGGTTATTTTGGGGTGATTTTGGGGAACGGGGACGCACCGGGAGCCCCGTGAGGGTGACGCATGGCTGGCATCGCGCCCACCCCCACGGGTGCCCCCCTCTTCCCAGGACGGGATCCTTTTTGGGGCCGTGGGTGCCTACGACTGGGACGGGGCCGTGCTGGAGGAGAGCCGCCGCGGCCGCCTCGTGCCCCCCCGGGAAGCCTTCGAGCCGGAGTTCCCGCTGGAGCTGAAGAACCACGCGGCGTATTTGGGTACCGGGGGGGGGGGTCCCTGGGGGTGCGCCGTGTCCCGGGGTCTGGGATGGAGCGGGGATGCTCCTGGGGGAAGCGGGGGAGCCTCAGCACCCGAGGGTCGCTCAGCACCCTGGGGGTGGAGGGGAAAATGGGGAGGTTTGGCACCCAAAGGTGCTCCGTGCGCCCCCGGTGTGGGGTGATCTGGGGGGGTGCATCCATTACCCTGAGGATGTGGGGTTAACTGGGGCTTCTGGGTGCCAAATGGGGGGGGGGGCTCAGCACCCAGAGGCTTCTTGGGGTCCTGGGGCCGCTCAGCACCCATGGGTGCAGGCTCAGCACCGTGGCCGTGCCCCAAACTCACCAAGGGGCGCACGGTGCCGCGGGGACGAACCCCCCCCCCCAAGGGGCTTTTTGGCTGCCTGGAGGGGGCCACCAGCAGGGCTCTCCCCCCCCCCCCCAAGGTTACTCCGTCTCCTCGCTCCGTCTCCCCGGGGGGCAGCGCCTGTTTGTGGCGGGGGCCCCCCGCTTCCAGCACCGGGGCAAGGTGATCGTCTTCCAGATGGGCGCCACGGGGACGGTGACGGTGGCCCAGGCGCTGCTGGGCGAGCAGGTTAGGGGCTAACGGGGTGTGGGGGGGGGTCGGGGGGGGCCACCGTCACCGGGTTCCATCCTGAATTGTGGCCCCGTTGCCCCCCCCATTCTTCCTCCATCCCCAAAAAAAAGATCGGCTCCTACTTCGGCAGCGAGGTGTGCGCCCTGGACGTGGACGGGGACGGGGTCAGCGACGTGCTGCTGGTGGCCGCCCCCATGTTCCTGGGGGGGCAGAGCAGGGAGACGGGGCGGGTGTACGTCTACAGAGTGGGGCAGGTGAGGGGGGGGGCGCTGGGGGGGTCGGGATGTGCAGTGGGGTTGGGGGGTGAAGGGGTTTGGGGGGTGGGAGGGGGCCGAGGGGTTTGGAGGGGTTGGGGGAAACGGGGGGGGAAAGGAGAGGGGTAGGGGAATGGGGGGGGAAATGGGGGGGTTGGGGGGTTGGGGGGGCTTGGTTGGGTTTGGGGAGGGGATGTGAGGGAGATTGGGGGCGTAATGGGATGGGGGGGGCACGGCAGGGCTGAAGGGGGTGCTTTGGGCTGGGGGGGGGGCACGCAGTAGGCTCAGGGTGTTCATATGGAGGGGGGGGGACACCCCCACACAGCCCCCTGGCCATCCCCATCCCCTCCCCTTCCCCATCCCAACCCCCTGACGACCCCCCCAGCACTTTGGGGTACCAAGAACCCCCCCGTTGCCCCCCCCCCCAGAAGCTGCTGGCCCCCGCGGGGACGCTGCAGGCGGAGCAGAGGCCGCAGGACGCCCGCTTCGGCTACGCCCTGGCCTCCGTCCCCGACCTCAACCACGACGGCTTCAACGACGCCCTGGTGGGGGCCCCCCTGGAGGACGGCCACCGCGGCGCCGTCTACGTCTACCACGGCGCCCCCGGCACCCTCCTGCCCCGCTACAAGCAGGTGAGAAATTTGGGAGGGGGTGCGAGGGGGGGGCTCTATCCATGCCTGGGCTCAATTTGGGGGTCCCCCCTCCCCAAAACCTCTCCCCGATGCCGCCGCGGTGCCGGCACAACCCTATACGAGCCAGCGGAGAAGCCACCGCTGGGGCTGCTCTCGCCTCTCCCCGCAGCGCATCGAGGCGGCGGCGTTGGGCGGGGGGGGGGCGGCTGCGATATTTCGGGCGCAGCCTCGACGCCCGCCTCGACCTGGACGGCGACGGGCTGCTGGACCTGGCCGTGGGGGCGCAGGGGGCGGCCGTGCTGCTGCGGTGAGCCCTGGGGGCACTCCTGGGACCCCCCCCCAAAAACCCTCCCCAAACCCCCCCCATGAGCCCTGGGGCTGGGGGGGGGCACTCCTGGGACCCCCCAACCCTCCCCACCATGTGCTGGGGGGGTCTCTCCTGGGTGGGCACCGCCTGCTCCGTGCCTCAGTTTCCCCTCGGGGGCTCCAAGGCACGGGGAGGGTCCCGGGAGCACCTCGGTGGGATGGAAGGGGGGGGGACACTGATGTCCTGTGTGTCCCCCCCCCCCTGGGGTTTTGCCAGCTCGCGGCAGATCGTGGGGGTGGCCACCACGGTGTCGGTGGAGCCCCCGGCCATCAGCGTGACGCGGAGGAATTGCCGGCGGGGGGGCGGCGGCGCCGTCTGCCTGAGGGCCAGGGTCTGCTTCCGAGCCAGCAGCCGGGCACCGGGACAGCGGGACCGGGACATCGGTGAGAGCCTGGGGGGGCTGGGGGGGTACACACGGGGCTCCTGGCACCAGGGGGGCCGGGAGGGTTCCCTAATGGGACCCTGGAGCACCCCACTGGGACCCTAGAGCACCCCAGGGTGTCCCCAGAGCACCCCAGGGAGTCCCTGGAGCACCCTAGGGTGTCCCAGGAGCACCCCAAAGCACCCCAGGAGCATCCTAGGGTGTCCCAGAGCACCCCAAAGTGTCCCTGGAGCACCCCACTGGGACCCAGGAGCACCCCAGGGTGTCCCTGGAGCACCCTAGGGTGTCCCAGAGCACCCCAATTGGACCTCAGGGCACTCCAAGATGTCCCCGGAGCACCCCAAGGTGTCCCAGGGCACTCCATTGGGACCCAGGAGCACCCCAAAGCATCCCTGGAGCTCCCCAAGGTGTCCCTGGAGCCCCCCAAAGCATCCCAGGAGCCCCCCAGAGCATCCCCAGAGCCCCCCAGGATGTCCCCAGATCACCCCAATGGGACCCTGGAGCACCCCAAAGCCTCCCAGGAGCACCCCAGGGTGTCCCCGGCTCACCCCAGGGGTACCCCCAGCCCCTCCCCAGCCCCTCAGCCCCCCCGGTTCTGCCCCCCCCCCCCCCGTCCCCTCTCAGAGCTGCAGTACAACGTGTCCCTGGAGGAGCGGGGTGGGGGGGCCCGCGCCGCCTTCGACTCGGGCGCCCGGCGGCTGCTGCAGCGGCGCACGGAGCTGGAGCTGGGCAGGCAGAGCTGCCTCCGCTTCCCCTTCCACGTCCTGGTGAGCACAGCATCCCCCCCCCTTCTCCTTTATCCTGTCCCCCCCCCCCGGCCCCAAATCCCCACCTGGGTGGGCTGACGGGGACCCCTTTTTCCGCCCCCCCCCCCCAGGACACCACGGATTACCTGCGGCCCCTCAGCTTCACCGTGCGCCTGGCGCTGGCTGACCCCGAGGGCCCGGTGCTGGATGAGGAATCCCCCAGCACCGTCCGCAAACTGGTGGGTGCCCCCCCACCCCGGGGGGGTCTATCTGTGCCCCCCCACCTTGCTCCCAGCCCCCTGTCCCCTTGCAGATCCCCTTCTTCAAGGACTGCGGCGAGGACGATGAGTGCGTCACCGACCTGGTGCTGCGCGCCACCATGGACATCACCAGGGATGGGTATGGGGCTGGGGACGGGCACGGGGGGGGGCCCAAAAAAGTCCCCCCGGGGCTGTAACCCCCCCCATGCTGCAGGCAGAGCCCCCACGTCCTGCGCAAGGGCAGGAGGAAGGCGGTGCTGGACGCGGTGCTGGAGAACAAGGGCGAGAACGCCTACAACGCCAGCCTGCTCCTGAGCTTCTCCAGCAACCTGCTCTTCTCCAGCCTCGTGCTCCAGGTGAGGCCCCCCCCTCCCCAGAAACCCCCCCCGGGTAAAAATCTGGGGGTGCTCAGCCCCCTTGGGGACCACCCTCTGCCTCCCAAGCCCCCCCCGGGGTGGCCGCGGGGACCCACTTCACCCTGTTTGGGAGCTGGGGATCCCTTTGTGTCCCCCCCCAAACCCCCCCCAGGCTGGACGGGGAGGGACCCCTCAGCCTCACGGTGCCCCTCGTGCCCCCCCCCGGCTGCCACATCCTCAGCCTGACCCCCCCCTGGTGCTGTGTTCCCCCCCCACAGGACACAAACCCGGTGAAGTTGGAGTGCACCGCGCTGGGGGGCCACCGCCGGCTCTGCAGCGTTGGCTACCCCGTTTTTCGCTCGATGGCCAAGGTAGGGGGCAGGGACCCCCCCACCCCCCCGGGACCCCCCTTTTGGACCCCCCCAGGACCCCCCCAGGACCCTCACAGCCCCCTTGCCCCCCAGGTCTCCTTCACGCTGGAGTTTGAGTTCAGCTGCTCCGTGCTGCTCGGCCGAGCGGAGGTCAGCCTGGAGGCCAGCAGGTAGGGGCAGGGGGCGAGCAAAGGGGGTGGGGGGGTCCTCATGGTTCCCCCCCCCCAAAAAAAAACAAAACTGGCCCTCTGGGGTCCTCTCCAAGACCCCACCCGGACCTGTTGCCCCCCCCAGCGACAGCGCCGAGGCCACGCCGCGGGACAACGGGGTCCAAATCTCCGCTCCCATCCGCTACGAGCCCGACCTCTTCCTCTCCAGGTGGGGCTGGGGGGGCACCGGGATGGGCTGGGGGCTCCGGGGGGGGCTCGGGGTAGGGGGGGGGGGCAGGATCCGACCCCTCTTTTCTTCACATTCCCCCCCCCACCGTGGCAGCGAGGCCAACCTGCACCGCTACGAGGTGCACCCGCTCGGCACCTTCCCCAACGGCCCCGGGCCCGAATTTAAGACCACGGTGAAGGTAAAAGGGGGGGGTTAAGGAAAAAGGGGGTGGCATGGGGGGGTCGAGGGGGGGTTGGGGGGGCTCACACTTTTCTCCCCCAGGTGCAAAACCTGGGCTGCTACCCCCTGCGCAACCTCACCCTGCGCCTGGCCCTGCCGGCCCTCGGCTACCGCCGCGCCGCCTTCCTCTCCGTCACCCGCGTCCTGGCCGACAACGTGAGTCCTCGGCTGGATTTGGGGGGGGGTCCTGAGCCCCCCAAACCCCCCCCCCACGGTGCTGAGCACGGCCCCCCCCCGTCCCCTCCATCCAGGCCACGTGCGAGCTTCACGGCCCCGCCGAGGAGCCACGAGGGGGGGGCCCAGCCCCGGTGGTCCCCGTGCACCCCGAGGACCTGCTGCGCGTGGACAGGCTGGTGAGCCTGCGCTGGGACGGGGATCTGGGGGGGGTCCTGGCTGCGTGTCCCCCCCCTACATCACCTCTCCTCCTCCCACATTGCCTCTTCGCCCCCCCACATCGTTTCTTTGCCCCCCCAGGACTGCAGCAACGCCTGGTGCCAGGAGCTGAGCTGCGCCCTGGGGCGGCTGGAGCGCGGCGGCGAGGTCTCCGTCCACGTCCTGCGCGCCGTCCACAACGACTTCTTCCGAGCGGTGCGGGGCTGGGACCCCCCCCCTTAACTCCAGCAGGGGGGACGAGGTTTGAGCCCCCCCCGCTTTAATTTTTGCCCTCTCTCCAGGCTAAATTCCGGAGTGTGAGGATTGTGAGCGCGGCCACGCTGGGGGTGCCGGGGGGCAGCGCGCTGGTGCTGGGGGAGGCGGCGCGGCGGAGGGAGGTAGGAGCTGGGGGACCCCCAGGAGGAGGGGGCTGGGGGGGGTCTCCGTGCCCCCCCCCAGGTGCTCCCCGGGGCTCTTTTTTTCCTGCAGACGGTGCTGGAGATCATCCAGGCCAAGCGGGTGCCCATCTCCCTGTGGATCCTGGTGGGCAGCATCCTGGGGGGGCTGCTGCTGCTGGCGCTCATCATCTTCTGCCTGTGGAGGGTGAGAGCCTTGGGGGGGGGCACGGGGGGGGGACACACACCCAGCAGGACGGGCTGGGGGCTGCTTCATCCCCTCCATCCTCATCCTCTCGGCCCCAGCTCGGCTTCTTCACCCGCAAGAAGCTCCCGGAGGAGGAGGAGAAGGAGGAGAAGGAGGGGCAGTGAGCCCCGGCGGCCCCCGCGCGCTTCCCGGCTCTCTCCAGCCCCCGCTGCCCCCCGAGCCCGGCACCTGGGAACAACGGGGGGGGGCTCGGGGGACTCTGCCCCCCACCCCAGTTTTGGTTCCACCGTGGCCGAGGGCGCTGCCGGTGCCGGGTTGTGCTGGCGCGGACGCAGCCAGGTGAGGTTGGGGCCGGTGCCGCGGCACAGGAGCTGCGGGGCTGGGCCCGGAGGAGACGGGGACGGAGGTGGGGGGGCGAGCACCCAGCGAATTGGGCCCCCCCCAAATAAAGTTCAGCCCCGTGGAGGTGCTCACCCGTGTGTGACCTGCCAGCGCTCTGCCCTGCCTCGGGGAGGGGGTGGGGGGGGGTAAGAAAGGGGAGCCCCAAAAGGCTCTGAGGTGTGAAGGGGAGGGGGAGCCCCTGTGCGCCCCCCCCCGTGCCCAAAATCCCCCCTCTGAGGTCTCTCGGCGCTGCCCTGGGGTTCCCGGGATGGCCGAGGGAGGGAATCCTCCACTTGGGGCCCTCTCCAAGCCTTGGGGGTGCAGGAGGGGACCCAGAGCTGACCCCAAAGGGGTCACCGGGGGGGGGGTTGTGGCACCCCAAAAGCTCCCCCTGCCCGCACAGGGCTCTTCGGGGGGGCACAAAATGGTAAAGAACGGGGAAAAAGCAACGGGATAAAGCCGGGAGGGGAAATGTTCAGCCCGGGTGCTTTTTCCCTTCTTTTTCCTCCCAACGAGGAGCCTGCTGCAGAGTGGGGACGGGCCTGGCCCTAAAAACACAAGGAGCAGGGGGAGAGGTGCAGGGGGTGGGGGGGGTCTCCTTCCCCTAAACCCCAATGCAAGGGGGGGGACCCTGGGGGCACCAAGTCAGGGGGTTCCTGATACCCTCAGCCCCATGCAGCCCTTGGGGACAAGGTGGGTGCCTCATCAAGGCCACCCTCCCCCAGCCATGCTGCTGCCACCCCAAACCTGACGCCCCAAAAACCCATCTGCCCCCCAAAAAAACCCTTTTCTGGACACCCCCCCGAGCTCACTTCCCTCCCCGTGACTCCTCCGCCCCCCAAAAACCTGCTCAAGCTTCTGCTCTTCTTTAGAAAGGCCTTTATTTGACTTCACAGAATCACAGAATCTCTAGGTTGGAAGAGACCTCAAGATCATCGAGTCCAACCTCTGACCTAACACTAACAGTCCCCACTAAACCATATCCCTAAGTTCTACATCTAAACGTCTTTTGAAGACTTCCAGGGATGGTGACTCAACCACCTCCCTGGGCAGCCTGTTCCAATGTCTAACAACCCTTTCAGTAAAGAAATTCTTCCTAACATCTAACCTAAAACTCCCCTGGCGCAACTTTAGCCCATTCCCCCTCGTCCTGTCACCAGGCACATGGGAGAACAGGCCAACCCCCATCTCGCTAGAGCCTCCTTTAATATACTTATACAGAGTGATAAGGTCACCCCTGAGCCTCCTCTTCTCCAGGCTGAACAAGCCCAGCTCCTTCAGCCGCTCCTCATAGGACTTGCTCTCCAGGCCCCTCACCAGCTTCGTCGCCCTTCTCTGGACCCGCTCAAGCACTTCGATGTCCTTCTTGTAGCGAGGGGCCCAGAACTGAACACAGTACTCGAGGTGCGGCCTCACCAGAGCCGAGTACAGGGGGACGATCACCTCCCTAGCCCTGCTGGTCACAGTGTTTCTGATACAAGCCAGGATGCCGTTGGCCTTCTTGGCCACCTGAGCACACTGCTGGCTCATATTCAGCCGACTGTCCACCATCACTCCCAGGTCCTTCTCTGCCTGGCAGCTCTCCAGCCATTCCTCTCCCAGCCTGTAGCTCTGCTTGGGGTTATTGCGCCCCAGGTGCAGGACCCAGCACTTGGCCTTGTTAAACTTCATACAGTTGACCTCAGCCCATCGGTGCAGCCTATCCAGATCCTCCTGCAGAGCCTTCCTACCCTCAAGCAAATCGACACACTCACCTAGCTTGGTGTCATCTGCAAACTTACTGAGGGTGCACTCAATGCCCTCATCCAGATCATTGATGAAGATGTTAAAGAGGACCGGCCCCAGCACCGAGCCCTGGGGGACGCCACTAGTGACTGGCCTCCAACTGGACTTGGCTCCATTTACCACAACTCTCTGGGCCCGGCTATCCAGCCAGTTTCTCACCCAACGAAGCGTGCGCCAGTCCAAGCCAAGAGCAGCCAGTTTCTTGAGGAGAATGCTGTGGGAAACGGTGTCAAAAGCCTTGCTGAAGTCAAGGTAGACCACATCCACAGCCTTTCCCTCGTCCACCCAGCGCGTCACTTTGTCGTAGAAGGAGATCAGGTTCGTCAAGCAGGATCTGCCTTCCATAAACCCATGCTGACTGGGCCTGATCGCCTGCTTGCCCTTCAAGTGCCGCATGATGACTCCCAAGAGGATCTGCTCCATGAGCTTCCCTGGTACTGAGGTCAAACTGACCGGCCTGTAGTTCCCCGGGTCAGCCCTCCGGCCCTTCTTGTAGATGGGCGTCACGTTTGCTAGCCGCCAGTCAGCTGGGACCTCCCCCGATAGCCAGGACTGCTGATAAATGATGGATAGGGGCTTGGCCAGCTCCTCTGCCAGTTCTCTCAGTACTCTTGGGTGGATCCCATCCGGCCCCATCGACTTGTGCACATCCAAGTGCCGTAGCAGGTCACCAACCAGTTCTTCGTGGATGGTGAGGGCCACATCCTGCTCCCCGTCCCCTTCCACCAGTTCTGGGTACTGGGTATCCAGAGAGCAACCGGTTTTACCACTAAAGACTGAGGCAAAGAAGGCATTGAGCACCTCCGCCTTTTCCTCATCTCTTGTAACTAAGTTTCCCCCCGCATCCAGTAAGACTTCATAGCAAACAGAACACTGGTTGGAATCGAGTGTACGTGGTACACCGTCACAGCAACGAAGGGGCGAGGGGTGGGGGGCGCGACCTCCCCCCTCCCCGCCAAGGCCCAGCGGGGAGGGAGCGGCGCCGCGCGGCTCAGAACGAGGAGCGGGGACGTGGATGAGATGTTACAGGAGTGGAAAAGAAATAAAACAAAAAAAAAAAACAAAAAATGCAAAAATGAAAGAGATTCTCTTAAAGTTACCGGACTAAAGGAGAATTAAGACCGGGTGTTAGACACCGAGGCTGCCGTTAGAAGGGGCTGCAGCTGGGGCCGCCGTCCTGCAGGACACCGCGGATGTGGTCCCTACGATACAAGCCAGCTAAGGATCCTAAACGACTCACTTTTGGGGTGGGGAGGCAGGTTGGGACAGACCCGGGGCCACAGGCACCTGGAGAAGGGACAGAAAAAAAAAGAGGAAAAAAAGTCCACAACGAGCCCCAAAAATTCCTGCGTCTGCATTCCTGTTCCCAGAACCGGGGGCTCGCGGGGGCCCCGAGCGCGCTTCTGTCCACGGGCACCGCGGTGAGCCCCGACCCGGAGCCCTCCACGCCTCCACCTCCCTGGAGAACACCTGGAGCAACGCTTTAAAGGCTGAATTCAACAGAAGAGGGGAAAAAAAAAAACCCACACGCTTCGAGGGGTCCGGGAAGGGGCCAGAGGAGGAAAATCTTCTCGGTTCTCCGTCACCAAAACGCTCTCCCCACCTCCGCTGCCGCGCACGGGGGCTGTGCCGAGACCCCGGGGCCCAGGTAGGGTCCCCCCGAGAGCCACAAACCTCCCTGCCCGGCCCGGCCCCTCCAGAGGCCACGTTTCACAGGTATAAAATCAAGTCAAATCACTCAAAAAGACTCTGGGTTGGGGACTAAAGAGGCGATTCCGATGGAGACGCGATTGGCTCGGAGATGCTAAAAGTTTCAGGAACAAGACAGCACTCGTCGACGCGATACCACGGGGTGGGTGCCCTCCCCTGCCCTATATTTCCTGCTACTCTGTTGGAATTAGAATACAATGTACATCTGGAGTAAGAACGCTCCGGCCAGAGCCCCCCGAGGAAGCCCCCGAGGTCAGAAAGTCCATCGGTCGTGTAGTTGGCTTTCACTGCTGAAGCTGTTGCTCGCTGAGGCCTCGGGGTTCTGTGCTTGCCGGGTCGAGTCCTCGCCGTTTAAGCTCTTCCTGCACACCGGACACGTGTCGTGCTGCAAGAAAAACGGGGAGGGGGGCTCAAGGAAACGGCTCTGGGGGGGCTGCTTCGCCCTGAGGTTCCCCCCGTTGGGCTCCGAAGAGCCGCGGGTGCTTGCAGCCCTTACCAGCTCTAACCAGGGCACGATGCAGTTGCTGTGGAAGAAGTGGTTGCAGGGTAACTGCCGCACCTGCTCGGCCACCGTGTAGTCCTCCTTACACACGGGACACTCCAAGCCCGTATCTGGAAGAGAGGCGCAGAGCGGGGCGGGCAGGGTGAGCACAGCACGCACCCCCCGGTACCCAAACGACTCCTTTTTTTCCCCCAAAGTGAGTAAGAAAAACTAATCGGGGGGATTGGGGCTGATAAAAACCTCCTCGTGCTGAAAGAGGCTTTGTGGGGGGGGTGGGGGACGCCTCCTGCATGACCCCCCCTGCTTTTCGAGGACGCAGCGCGCTGCAGAGCGCTGTCGGGGGGGGGAGATGGTGAAAATCTGACCTCCTCCCTCATCCCGGGCCTGTTGCTGCTCACAAAAACGTCCCCACCGCAGGCAGGAGGGAGACAAAAGCTCCCAGGGCTCCTCGCCCGCCCGCCAGGCTGCCCGGCTCGAGCTGTGTCAATTCCAGAGGGCAGGGCTGAGCGTGACAGCATGGAAATTGGGATGCTTCCTGGCTTCCCAGACAAGGAGGAGAGCCACGGGGTGTATAAAAAGAACCAGACGAAAATATCTGTCGCGGAAACAGCTTTTCTCATCAACCCGCTCGTCTTCGCCGAGCGGCTCGGTGGGAAAGGGATCCCGCGAGCGGCCGCCCGCGGGCAGGAGGGGGGAGAAAAATCCCTAATTGCAAAACCATAAACACTGCAAAAAAACAAAAAAACAAAGAAAAAAGAAGCCCATGGGTCTGTGCTGCCAGCTCTGTTACAAAAAGCTGCGGGTCCTACATATTTCAGAAGGAATTTGGGGGGGGGACGCTCGGAGCCTCGTCAGCAGCCCCGGTTTGCAAGGGGAGAACGCGACGCAGCGAGCCCAGCCCTACCAGGACTGTCAGCAGCAAAAATTGCAGGTTTTAAAGAAGGGCGAAGCCACCCGGGGACACAAGATTGTTGTAAATTGGGTGATCCTTTGCAGGAGGAAGGGAATTCGGGCAGCAAACCCCCCCAGGCTGTGCCCGAGGCGCCGGGAGCCTTCACCTACCCACTTGTTCCTGAGTTACTGTCACTGTGGGGAGGGAGGAGATCTTCTCTTTGTCGGCCGGGGGGGGCCCCGTGTTTTCCAACTGGCCCAAAAGCTGCAAAGACAACACCAAATGTACTTGGGGGGGCGCCTGCTGCCTCCCCCAGCTCTTTATCGGGGTGCCAGGAGGGGCGAGGAGCCCCCCAAGGGCAGCGGGGAGCCCCGAGGAGCTGCTTTAGGCTGGCCCCGCCGCACCAAACCCTGCTCCCATTGGGGTTTTGCGTCTCCAGGGGCTTAACCCCGCTCCCTGGGGGTCTCCATCCCCAGCGGGGAGTCTCTGGGGGCTGAGCCCGAGCTGCGGAGCCTCTTCCCTTGTGGCTTCCAGCTCCCTGCCTGCCTCATGGGTGCTGCGTGCTGCTGAGATCACCCCAGGATCAGCCCCAACAGCTTCATGCGTGGCTCGGGGGAGCCCCATTGGCTTTCCAGGTCACCCTAAAACCCCGTGGGACGGGCAGGGGCGGCTGCTGTCACCGCAGAGCCCGGGCGAGACGGGCGTGGGAGCCGGGGGCTGCTGCTGAACGGCAGCAGATGGCTCTGGCAGGCGCCTTCCGAGGCGTCAGCAGCCAAATTAGCTCCCAGGACGGCAGCCGCCCGCTCTGCCTTCCCCTCCCGCTGCCGCCGACGCCCCCGGGAGGATTTTGGGGATGGAGCTGGGCAGCCCCAGGGCCCTGGGGAACGGCAGCGTGCTGGGCTCCTTCCCCAAACCGCAAGGGAACGGCTTGAGGGTGCAAAATGTTGGATTTGGAGCAGGACCCGGGGCTGAGAGGGGGGGGTTTATTCTCTGCCTCCCCGCTGCGAGGCACCTGCGAGCGCTGGTTGGCGAGGAGGAGAGCTAAACCGCGGTGTTTTCACCCAAAAGAGGTCCGAACCCTCCCCAAAAAGGCAGGGCACTGAGCAAAAAACAAAAAAAAACAAAACTTGGAGGCACGGCTCAAAGCTCTCGGGGTCTCACCTGGGTGACGATGGCGTCGAGGCCGCTCTGTCCCCACGCGTAGTCCCCGGGGTTGGAGTGCAGCATCCCACTCCTATATGGGGGGGGGGGAAATTCAAAGGAACTGCTTCAACCCCCCAAAAACCAACCCCGAGGTTTTGCAGACCTCACCCCAGCGGTCAGCGGGGAGGGTAACTGGTGCTTACTGGGCAAACTGGTTTTAAGTGGGGCCAGGGCCGCGCTCGCTACTCACCAGGAGAAGGGGTGCTGCGAGCCGGGGAGCGCCGAGTTGGCGAAAAACCCCGCGAAGATCTGCTGGATTATCCTGAGGGCAGCAAAAAAAGGCACAGGGTGAGCAACGAAACCCAGGGCAGCAGCAGAAAAAAGCAGAAAAAAGCCAAAAAAAACAAATTATCAAATTCTCACTCCCCTGCTCGCTGGGCTCACACCTCGGGAAAACCTCCCCCAGGAGGGCAGAGCCACAGCAGGGTTTTAGGTCCCCCCCGGGGGGGTTCCCACCCTAAAACCCACACTCCTTTTTCTCCGAGAGCCCCGTTTTTGGGGCGCTGAGAGGTTTTTTGGGGGCGGTTTTCGGGCACTCACCCCTCGATGGCCGGAGACCTGTCGGGGCGCGAGCTGCCCCGGGAGCGGTACCTCCGCGTCATGGGCAACCGGGGGGGGCGGCTGGGCCCCCAGAGGTCGGCGTGGGCTTGGTGGCCCCTCTCGTTGTCCCGGTTCTCTTGGTCCAGGGAGCCGCTGCTCAGGAAAGGTCGGAAATCGGGGAAGAACATCGTGTGGTCCAAGTGGTCCCAAAGCTGAGGGAGGGGAAGGGGTGAGGGGGGGTTGAACCCCAAAAGGAGCAACCCCAGAGGATTCCTGCGCTCGCCGCGGCTCCCGGGAAGGATTCAAAGGGTCGAGGTGATTAATTAGGGCCCCTGACTCGTTAGGTGGGACACCCCTGGGATGATCGACGCGGAGGATCCTTCCTGCTCCGCCTGGTTCTGGGGAGCCAGCCCCGAGGAGGTGCCAGGCTGGGATTTTAGGGGGG